TCGTTTAACATTAGAATAAGACACTTCAGATCAAGCTCCTAGCTTTTTTAAGAGACCTCAAAGCATGCACCTCAGCTTTATAAAGCTTCAGCTCTCTCTAGATGGAGACCCTTGTGGGTCATCGCCTCGATCGTAGAGCTGCAAAAGCTTTACAAAGCCTCAAGCGATCTCTCAAGCATTACCCCTTGTGGGTCAGTGCATCGGTCAGAGATGAGCTCTCTTATCAGCTTTACAAAGCTTCAAATCTCCCTAGATGAAGACCTCTGTGGGTCATTGCCTTGGTCGCAAAGTTGTAAAAGCTTTGCAAAGCCTCAAACCGTCACCCAAGCGTCGTTCCCCGTGGGTCAGCATATCAGTTAAAGATGAGCTCTTTTATCAGCTTTACAAAGCTTCAACTCTCTCCAAACGGACACTCCTGTGGGTCATCACCTCGATCGCAGAGATGCAAAAACTTTACAAAGTCTCAAGTCGTCTCCCAAGTGTCGTCCCCTGTGGGTCAACACATCGGTCCGAGATGAACTCTCTCGTCAGCTTTACAAAACTCCTACTCTCTTTAAATGAAAACCCCTGTGGATCATCGCCTCGGTCGCTTAGTTACAAAAGCTATACAAAGCCTTAAGCCATCTTCTAAGCATCGTCCCTTGTGGGTCAATGCATCAATCGAAGATGAGGCCCCCCACTACCTTTACGAGCTCTACAAAGGCTGGTCCCCATTTGCTTGTTTTCACTATGGGGTCAACACTCCGGTATGACTTACTCTCTCAAAGGCCAACACAATCGTTCAAACAAGACTACGAATGATATGAATATTCATCCCTGAACTTGGGAGGACCACTGTTACGCTCCTAACCAAACCACTTCGGCACATCGTGCCCACTCCCCAGCGAGGTGCCACATGTTCCCTCCAAAGTGGTTCCAAAGTGATATGAGCCTGGACCTAACTATAAGACCACATGCTGATTGCCAAGTTAATCTGCCAAAGTGTCTGAAGTGCCCCCATGTTGAAGCGTGGGGTACACCAAGGCGCTTCTTTAAACAACTCTTTGTCCCTAATTTCTAAGAGAGATCTTTGTCAGAATACCCTTTATCTCAATGGATTAATTGACGTGACATAATTGACGTGACATCTCCATCAATTGATTGATGTCAACTTTATGTCAATCCAACTCAGAAAAATTAATTACCCACACACTCTAGACACGATTGATTGATGCCTACGAGTGGACACCTCAGACCGTCAGATGCATACACATGTCGCATATCCAACGGTGCTCCTCATCTATTAATATCTAAGGTATGGCAAGAGGCAAAGGTAATGAAACTCACACTAAACTTAGCTACCCACATACAAGTATAGTTTTCTCCTTTCCACTCTTGCACAATTCTGATGCCATTCTGATCATCACCTATTAACTTGATCATCGGAGTGTATGTGGTCGCCACCACTGCCTCTGGTTTTGACCATGTGCTTTTGACCGTGTGTTATTTTGCACGGGGAGGAACTCATGGAGTGGCTCTCGATTGGCCACATGAAAGTCCAATTCACGATGTCAACATATTTCACAGGCATAGGCCAATGAATGAAATAAATCCAACAACTAAGTCTATGAGCTCCACCTGGTCCAATTATATTCCCTCTTAGATGACTTGAATCTTGGTTCGTTTACCTTCTTTTTGGTCCAATTAAAAGGCTAGCATATTTATAAGGAATATACCCTGGCCATTTTCTAGTGTGGTTTGTGAGAAAAAAAAGGAAAATTTTGGCTGCCTCCTTTGGTGTGTGAAAAAGGCCAATTGGAGTGTCCAAAACGCTTGATTACTTTGTGTAATTTGTGGTTCCATCATAGCCTATCTTTGTGGTATTTTCTCCTTACCTTTGTGGCTATAAATTATCACCATTTCTTCTATTTTTTGGGTAAGATTGAATAGCTATCGAGGTAAATTATATTGCTTGTGAATCGGAGCTGGCTGGATTAGTTGTTGGTAGAGAAAGGTACGCTAGACTGAGCTCGAAAAACACCAAATTGAAGATTCTTGGAGAGAGCTTCCGCAACATTTGTATTAGATCTTCAAGGTGGTGGTTTTGGCTCGTGAAATATACCTGAAAATGACCTAAAAATTGGCAAAAATTAGATCGAAGATTCTATCCATAAACTGTCCAAAAATTGAATATGTTCGTGCAATTTTTTCGGTCGATCCAGATGGCTTTTAGTGAAATGAAGACCACTGGTGTAACGTGTAGGTGGTTACGGTCCAGGTTGACTTGTGCGTGAGGTTTCCTGATGGCACGTGAGGCCACACAAAAAGAGGAGAAGCCATGCATGAGGGCGCATGAGCGGGAATTTCGAGACGGTCTCTTCAGGCAGTTTGTTCCTCACATTATTTCTGCCATTTTGGTGTTAGTTTTTTATTTCAGGTTGTGCAGTAGAGTTTGGACATAGTTATTCATTGGACATTCATGATTTGATCATGGTTTGTTGGTTGCTAAAGTTTCTAGAGGCTTTAGGATGACTGGTGGTGGTCTTAAAGTGATAAATTCACATCTCTCATAATTTACGGACTTAGATTGATCCGCTCTAGTGAATAGGCTTATCCCAGTTTAAATTTCAGCATTAGCGCATCATCGTGTGGGGTGACATTAGGTTTGTAATTACCAAGAAGGGGTAACATTGCTTGTGCTAGAAATTTAGGAGTTATTTACCATATTTTGAAGTGTTGAGTTTTGATTGCAAGTTGGTAGTTCATTTTGTACTTTAACTGTCATATAGTCATTGTGTGAAACTGTGTTGCATGAAAATTCGAACTTTTATTTGCATACCTTTGTATTACATTGATTATCCCGTTAGAACACCTGCTCTTTACCCGTTTGAACATTCATTTGATCTAAGATCGTGAATCTTACGAAATCTTGAGAATCTAGAACGGTGTATATTGCGACCTTAGGATTACTTTGTGTGATATATTTGTGCATTTGGTTGTTCTGTTTGCTTAAAAATATTTTCACACTTTGAAATTGAAATTTTTTTAATGGGGAAGGGAGATTTTTCAATTTAGCAACAAAAGATGAAATGTTTCAAAAGCCATAGATGGTAAATTTACTTCAAACTTAACAGAAGTACAAAAAGAAGAGTATGATGAACTTGCGTACACTACAATTATGTTACTTACAACCATGGATGATTTATGTAATAACGATATCCGTATTTCGTTATTACTTACAACCATGGATGATTTAAGATTCAATTAGATATAATTTGCACCTCACAATCACAACTCCTTGTGATTAACAAATTACGAAGATTTGAATCTACGGACTCTATTATTTATTTAACTGTCTATTAATTAAATAATAGATCTGCCATTAAATTGCATTAATTATATATCAAAAGTATTTATGTCCAAAGTTGATTGGACTCAGGACATAATACTTACAGTATCCACAGCCCCCAAGAGTTTGAGATAAACTAGCAGAATTATTTTTATCACAAAGCTCTTTCCAAAATTTTTTAGATGCATCCAATGGGTTTTTAGCATTTGGTTTGCTGTGTCATCTAGTTGCTGAGAGTGTCTGCAGAGCTATTCAGCACTTCGTTTTTTCCCATTTTTTCTCCTCCTCTTCTTATGCTCGTTAGATTTTCTGAAAGGGGATGAACTGGTGGGGCTTGTTAGCCTGGCCTTTAAATACATATGGCCCATCCTTAGATATCATCCATCCAATGCTTAGTTTATGCATTTTGTGGTCTAGAAATTTTAAGTGGCTTCAATGTGATTTTTGTTTGATAAGGCAAGTGCCAAATTGCAGCATGCATTGCTTGGAACATTAATTGCTCATTTGCTCTCTGTTCTTGCTCATTTGCTCATTTTAAGTGGCTTCAATGTGATTTTTGTTTGATAAGGCAAGTGCCAAATTGCAGCATGCATTGCTTGGAACATTAATTGCTCATTTGCTCTCTGTTCTTGCTTACCTCTGGGAAAGGTCACCATTCCGTTTTGATGGTAGTCTTATATAAATTTCCAGGCTTTTGAAATTTTGATCTGAATGACTTGTTTTTGGATACAATAAATTTGTTTCGTACGGGACGGGCGTTGGCATGTTGGGATTCCTGATTGAATCTTTTTGAGTGAACTTGAAAACAAAATTATGCATATTACAAGACTAGAACGGTGACAAAAAAGCGTGGACCTTTTGGTGACAAGGAGTGTGCCCCATTCCCCTATAAATGAGAGTAGCTACCAATCCTAATCGTTACTCAGTTTGGGCCCATACTCCAGTCTCCACTCTATGTGACCATGTGTTATGAAATTTCTTTTTGCAACAAATGCAGTGGAAAATGTTAAGCATGACATTACGTTAATGAATCTACTTCATGTCGGCCACGGCCAGTCTGGGTATGAAGAGGATCTATTCCCTTTTGACTATTGGGCTTGCCCATGTTAAACACCAACGGATTTGCTATTTTACTATGTCTAGATTATTGAGGACGTGATTCAACTGAAGCCTTGTTATATTCATTTATGTTCCGTGTTCGAAAATTAGGTGTGGTCTCAACTACCTGTTCTCTAATTTCAGAAATATTTTTGGATAATAATGTTAAATTTATAATAAAAGAACATACTGGGAGTCGCGGGATCTGGATACATACAAGACATACGACTTTTTGATATACACAAAACAGAACCCCCTTGAAGAAAATATGATATGAAGCAGCTGCAAGAATCAAATAACAGTTAAATTTTGGGCCAAAACGTCAAAAGCTGTTTCCAAGACTAAAGAGCTTCTTTTGAACATGTTTGAATAGTTTTTTTATTTGGTTAGAAGAACTTTTAGATGAAGTTAGGCTAAGATAGATTTCTTAGGAATCTCTTCTACAGAAGCAAAAGCCTTGCCAATGCCCCTAATGTATTATTCAAGAATCAATATGGAATTTTCTGAAGTTTTATGCCTAATCAGAGAATAAGTTTGCGCTGATCCATGACATTGAGCTGTTTTTATTTTGAATTACTTACCATATAATAGTAAATGCTTAAAATTAATACAACAACTACTGGAATTTATGAATGGGGCCACATGTATCAAATCAAGATCTACCATATTGGACAAGGCTAGGATTAACAGATTCTTGAGCCAACACTGATATCCCAGTAGTTTAAGAAAATTGATATTTTAGTCAATCTGTGCAATGGGATGCTCCCTTTTCATTGAAAACCAATCCATGATGTTTGGTAACCCGAAGATCAACAAAGGAATATTTTCACTGCTCGGAACCAGAACAGTGAAAAGAAGAATCATAGTCGGTCTAAAATCTGATCATTCCAGTAGAGAAATGCTTCTCCGTTTACTAAATTCGGTTGTGGTAACAGGAGACTATGTTCTGGCTGTTCATGTGCAGGAATCAGATGATACATTTGATCCTAACACCTTTTACATCCATGAAGATCTCTGCAAGTCTAAGCAGGTGAGCTTTTTTGACCATTTAGACAACATAGTTGAGTTAAATTTCTGAGAACTTTTGATGCCCTGATTGTTAGGATGTTTGATACCTTTGGTTGATGACATGCTCAGGTGGATTTTGAAGTCAAGGTTTGTCCACGAAACTGTTACATTGCTGAATTAAGCCACCAAGTTCGAATAAATTTTGCAACAATTCTTGCAGTGGGATGCACAAGTCTGTGGTATGGCCATCATCTATATTTCATATGGTAATTCAAAATAAATTCTGCATTTTTTGCTCTAAACAGTTATTGTTTTCAGGCCAAAAGATTCAACAATTGCAAAATGTTTGAAAGCATTACCTCCCACTTGCACCCTTCTAGTAATGGATAATGGAGGAAAAATCTTATTCCAGAAAGAGGGATCTTCCCAGGAAGGATCTTCTATTAAACTTCTTAGATCTTCACAGGAAGGATCATCTATTAAAGTTATTCGATCTTCTTTGTCATGTTTATCAGTATCCAACAACTGTGATCAGCCAGGAACTAAGCCTCTATTCCAAAAATCTTCATCAATGCCATGTTCCTCAACATCATCAAAACCACAACAAAACATGAGCAGAAACTGGCCAATCGCGAAGAAAAACCTGCAGGGTTATGATGTTGCAACTCCTGAATTGTTCCATAGATTAGCTACATTAGAAGTGAAGGGATACACCACACGCTATACATTTGATGAGTTAAAGTGTGCAACACAAAATTTTAGTCCCGAAATGTTGATTGGAGAAGGAGGACATAGTCAAGTTTATCGAGCTGTTTTTAACAATGATCAGGCTGTGGCGGTGAAAGTCCTCAAATCCTCCCGATTTTCTGAAGAGGATCTTTTCCGTGAAGTAGATATATCAAGTGGCTTGAGCCATGAAAACATGATTCACCTACTTGGATACTGTTACTGTAAAGAGATACGTGCAATTGTTTATAACTTACTAAGTTCAAGCCTGAAACAAAGACTCAAGCAGCTTAGTTGGAAAGAGAGGATGCAGGTTGCAGTTGGTGTGGCACGGGCATTGGAATACCTTCATTCTTTCTATCCACCCATCATCCATAGGGATGTGAAATCATCTAACATCCTCCTATCCGAAGATTGCAAACCACGAGTAAGTCTTCACTGAGTACCATTTTTACTGCACAATTAAACGTATTGTTCATTTTAGATAAAATTAATAATGCATTTGCAACATCGCAATCATTCCAAGTACTGATACTTTGTCATTATAGAATCTAGAACACTCAAAAGCAAGAAAGGGAAAAAGAGGGGAAAAAAAGGAAAGGAAATAGGAGATATGGTTACTGATGCCTCAAATTTCAACTCGTTACCTTTGGAGACACAAATCAAGCTTGTTGGTTCCGAAGTTTGAAAACATCAAGAAGTTCCATATCAAACTCAGAGTTAAATAATACAATTTATGCATGTTCCTTTTTCATGGATTGTTCAGATGCAGACTGCACAACCAACAAACATTGCCCAACATAAACACTTGTATGTAATCATATCAGTATGACAACTAACTCTGTTTTCCACCTATCAGCTGTCAGATTTTGGGGCAGCAATTGTACATCAGCAAACTCTGCAGTCATCTGCATATGCAAAGCCAATTAATGTTGTAGGAACATTTGGATATCTGGCACCAGAGTACATGATGTATGGAAAAGTTGATGAAAAGATAGATGTTTATTCTTATGGAGTCGTGCTCTTAGAATTAATCACTGGGAAAGAGGCTATTCAATCAAACTCACCATCTAATCGTGAAAGCTTGGTACTCTGGGTAATGGAAATGAATCAAACGCAATCAGAAATAAAATTTTATGGTAGATTTCTTCTTTCACTTAAATTCCAAAGGAATATGCAGGCAAGGTCTCTGCTCACCTGCGGCCTATGTGAGAGACTAATTGATCCTGATCTCAAGGAAGACTATGATAAGGATGAGATGAAAACAATGATGATTGCAGCTCGCCTGTGTCTCTTGCATTCATCTTCTAGAAGGCCAACAATGAAAACTGTAATCTTTTTGATCTTTCACTACAAAAATAGTTCTTTTATGAATTCTAGGAACATCATGCATTTCACATCTCACTCAACAATTACCAACCTGTATTGTAGGTAAAAATATATTTGATCACCAACATATCAGTGAAGTGAAGCAATTTAAATATTGAACTATTCCTTGAATGTATTTTATTAATTTAACCCAGAGTGATCTTTATTTGAAATTTGTACTAGCTCTCTAGCCGACAATCAATTGTAGGCAAGGTCTCCGAGTTATAAATATGACTAGTGAATGTGGTGGTATTAACTATAGTGAATGTGGTGGTATTAACTATGTCCAAGGAAGTACATTTACATTTATTTATTTTTTTTATTTTATTGCAGATCTTGCATTTATTTGAGGAGCCAGAACACTGGTTGGAGATGCATAAGAAGAGAGAGGATCTTCCTGGTGCACTTGGTCAAGGTGAAATGGATGATTCAGATCCCCATGATTTTTGGGTTATATATGATAAATAGTTGGTTCTTGTCAACGTAAGACACGCTATTAAATGTAATTGTTTAGTTTTGTATAGTCTGTGGGTGATTTGCTACAATCAGTAAAATTGAATTTATAAAATTAACATTGAAATGAGGTGAATTCCAACAATTCGTATACGTTGTCATCATTGTAAATGCTTTACATATTTCCATCATTTTTACTCCGACAGCGTGTATAAATTGTTATTTACATACATAGAACTTTTCAAAAATTTTGATATGGTTTGAAGAGGGATTTTCTTTTCTTTTCTATTTTATATGGGGGGGCAGGCATATCCTTCTTGTATTAATCATGGTATCATGTTGCTTTATGTGGGGGCATCGAGAAAGTTATTCTGCAGGATAATGTTTCTATTGACAATTAGAATAAGAACAAACAAATCAGACTGAACACACACACTTCAGAACTGCAGACCCAAAGATTAGGTATTGATGCTTCTTAATTATTAATTAAGTTTCTATTCATCTAATCGAACCCACAGATTAGGTATTCAGTGGTTCTTAATTCTTAATTAAGTTAGCATTCACTTAACCAAACCCACAGATTAGGTTCCTAAATCTTAACTCTTAATTTAGTCCGCATTCATCTAACGAACAAACGCAAAGACAGACAGAACTGAATCATATCTTTTACAAGGTTGTGAACTTGTGATTGAAATAAGATTCTGAAAACAAGAAAATTCTGAAGATGAACGGAAAGTAGGCGTATAGCAGATTGGAATACACTTATATTTACAAATATTTCACTAATACAACATCAACACAGACAGGATCAAATAAAGATCTCTGCTTATTCTGGTATGGTGAATGAGATGTATCACAAGTTTGTGCTTACAGTTTTATGCTAACTGTCATTTACTAACTGAGAGAAGTTAATTGGGGATACATATAATGTTGGACCATAATAGAGAGTCTCAGCTGCCAGACGAGCTGCTTTCCGAGTCGGGTGGAACAAATCCCAGAACAAATACTTTCTGCGATTTGGACAAAGTGACGCTCTAGCATTACAAGGGCCTTCTGCATTCAAAATTCCCGTTCCACAGCATGCTGTATCCTTGTTTAGAAATTCTGACAACGAAAGAAAATGAAAATCAATTAGGGCCATCCTCTATATGTTAATATAGCCATAAAATCAATTTTTAGGAGTTCAAATATGTTTTTGGTTACAGCATACTGTAGTGACGCGGATCGTTTATGACATCAATAGTCATTTAGTATCCATTTCCAAGTGAGGACTTCATTTCTGAAAACTGAGAGCTGATGTTGTATAATAGAGTGTCAAGTGCTGACTGGAAAGCTAAGGCGACGTTGTTCATGGCTTCAAAACAGCCATGTTTACCAGTTAAAAGTTTTTGGACAAGTCTTTGGGCCGGACAACATCCGACTGGTGCCACACTAGTGATGCCAAACTTTCGTGGCCCTAGGTAGTACAAAGCCTAAATCCAACATGACCTCAGTTTGATTATATTGACCTCCCTTTTTTGTTTGATTTGAAAAGATGTATACAATACTGAAAGGAAGAAATCTTACTTTAATGTGAGTAGCGTATGCTGACATCAGATTGATGATGACCTTCTCTATAGGCACTGTACATTTTGTCCTGAAATACTCGAAAATGTTAAAAGGTTGAACCCCAACCTTAAGGGTCCCCACCGACCCTGTCCTGGGCCATCATGGAGGAGGTAAATCGCAGGATGTGCCTCCCAGGAACCAGGGTGGAGAGCATATGGATAGGTCAAGGCTGTCAACCCATATGTTAACTCCCGCTTGCAACAAAGCCAATTCCACTTTGCGGGGAATCGAACTCTGCACACTGCCACGCTGAGCCCTATCCGCCCTCCCCTTTGCCACTGGGAGATATGCCCTGGGGGCACTCGAAAATGTCATTGCTTCCAATGCTGATGAAGAACAATGATTTTGAGAGCGTGGCTTGGTCTATGACATTAGTGAGATTGTTGCTCAATGAAGCGAATTGAGTAATTTGTTCTGACAGGGTATTACGTTCCAATAGCGATATATTTTCACAAGACAAAGAAAGGAATTGTTGGGTTTGTGACCCAAATTAGGATGAATTTTTTTATTTTTTATATTGAAATAAATTGTTTTCTTATTTTCATGTAGGAAAATTTGTTTCCTTATATTTCACGTGATTTTTATGGAAATATTTTATTTCCTTATTCCACATTATTTCCATCTTTATGATATACCATGTACTTATAAATAGTGGTCTTCTCTTTCAATTTTTTTCAAACAAGAATTGTTGAGTTATTGTATTTCTCTTTATATTGTCGATTAATAAAACGTCGTGCTTCTGCGACTAACTCTCTTTATTAATTTCTTTACTTCTAAATTTTGTTTCTCATTGTGATCTCCATTACTTCATATCGCATCATTAATCTCATTCACTACAATTCTTCTGGATCAAACAAGTGGTATTAAAGCTTGATTCTTGTTGTGGATTGTTTGAGGTTTTTTAGAGATGACTGCGTTGAAGTATGATATTCTGTAATTGAATCGCAATACAAGATTTTCTTTGTGGCAAGTAAAGATGAGAGCTATTTTGACGCAATTAGATTTGGATGATGTGTTGTTGGGTTTTAAGAAGATGCCAGCTAGTTGGATAATGGAAGAGAAACAATGGAGGGATCGAAAGACTTTGTCGTTGATTCATCTACATCTATTCAACAATATTCTGTAGGATGTCTTGAAGGAGAAAACAGTAACTACTTTATGGTTGAAACTTGGCCTATAAAGCAGAAGCTGTATTCCCATCGTATGGTGGAAGGAGGGTCATTCGAAGACCATATTGCTGTGTTTAAGGAAATTGTCCCTGATTTGGAAACGTTGGAGGTTAAGTACGATGAAGAGGATCTTACCTTGATCCTATTATGTTCGCTGCATGACTTTTATGCGTCGTTTCAGGATATCATTTTGTATAGTCAGGATACTTTAATTATAGACGACATCTATGATGCTTTGTACTCAAAGGAGAAATTGAAGCATTTTGTTGGAGCTACATCGAGGGATAAGGAAGCTCTTGTATCTCATGGTGGTCGACGGAAGGGCAGATTGAAGAATAACAGCAATTTGTTTTGCTTTTACTTCAGATGTAAAGGACATATTCAGAAGGATTGTGATAAGCTGCAGGCTAAAGATGATTTGGCTACTAATCGTGGAGCGCAACCTTTGACTTCAGACAAAACAAATGCAGTTGATGATTTTCCAGACGACGAAGATGTGATATTGACTGTGGTTTCTGACATAAAATCTAGGCCTGACGAGGAGTGGATTCTCGATTCGGCATATTCACATCATATGTGTTCCAATCAGAATTTCTTTCAGACTTATGTGGGTGTCAAGTAAGGTGGAGTTGTGATGGGAAACAACTAATTTTACCGTGTCGATGAAATTGGTCGAGTCAGCTTAAGGCTGTGGGATGGGACAGTCAGAACAACTGATCAAATTCGACATGTTCTAGACCTGAAAATGAATATCATCTTACTTAGTACTCTGAATGCAAAAGGACATAAATTCTCTAATAGAGGTAGAGGTGAAGTTTTGAAAGTCCGAATGGGTATCCGGTTGTATTGGAGGGACGAAAAAAGTCTTAGTCGTACATCTGGCAGGAAAGTGCATAATTGGTTAAGAGACATCGAGACAAGTTTAGTACCGTGGTGGATATTTAATTTGGTACAGTATTGCTTGTGACAGGCTCTGGGTCGGTTCAGAACACTGCTCGGGGAAGCATTGGTGATTCTGCTTTGCCATCAATTTCAGCAAATACACTGTATTCATTTGCTAGGATTGGACTCATAGAACGTAGGTACCGTGATATCAATAAAGTCTAGGATGCTTTTGGGGACGTTGAATGCGACAGTTCTAACAATGGGCCTTCTGATCCAGCATGTGATATGGTTTCTGTTACAAAGTGTGCTTCGACCCTGTTTGATCAACCGTAATTCCTCGATGGAATTTTGGGAACTCAGGATTTGGGTTCAAGTGTTGCTTGTGGACGCCTTGCAGAGGATGACGATTTGGTTTGGAGAGTTTTTGTTACTGTGTTGAGGAGATTGGCCATTTTGATGCAGACAAATTTGAAATCTTGAAGTTTCGTTCGTTGCATCAGAATTTGGATCATTGTGGAGATTGTTGGGTTTGTGATCCAAATTATGGTGAATTTTTTTGGAAATAAATTATTTTCTTATTTGCATGTGGAAAATTTTGTTTCCTTATATTTCACGTGATTTTTATGGAAATATATTATTTCCTCATTCTTCATTATTTTCATATTTATGATATGTGATTTACCTATAAATAGTGGTCTTCTCTTTCATTTTTGTTCAAACAAGAATTGTTGAGTTCTTGTATTTCTCTCTATATTGTCGATTAATACAATGTTGTGCTTCTGCGATTAACTCTCTTTATTAATTTCTTTATTTTTAAATATTGTTTCTCATTGCGATTTTCATTACTTCATATCGCGTCATTAATTTCATTCACTACAATCCTTCCTGATCTAACAGAAATTTTAGAGTTTGCACCATGCAAATGCTTGAAGCCATTGTTAGTAATAACTCCAAAGGATTTTCTACGTCCATATCAGGGGAAAAAAATTTTGATGTTCACACACAGGTCTCACTAGTTTAGAGCCAGTTGTATCAAGAAGATCAGAACCCCTGGAGGCGAAGTTTACACCTGCATGGGAAAGCTTATGGTGACCAGACGTCTGGTTAATGAGAAAGATATAGGGAGGTGGGCTTCTCCTGAGTCCCAAAAGCTTGGCTGAGGAAAAAAATTATGTTAGATAGACAGCTCGATCGATTTCATGTGAAAGATGCCTAAAATAATAAGATTTGTACTAACTGAGGTAACCAGCAATATTGAAACCATTGCTGAACTTCCCAGTTGGCCTTCCATGTGGGAAGTCAACGCCACTGTGAGGAAAGTCAGCTCTTGCTTGGCTATCTGGTATGAAAGAATTGGTTCCTACATCTGCTGTGGAATCTCTTAGTATGAAAATAGTTGGAAGAGCAGCATCGTTAGCCAAGCAAGAGACGAAATTGGCTATGAAAACAAATAAGCCAAGAAATGAAGTAATAAACGTCTTAGCC